TGATTGGTATCCTGCCTTGGGAGGCTTTTTCGTGACTTCGTTAATGTCTCATTAATATTACCTAATGATTCAACATGTTCCTATTAATACTTACTGCTCTGATTCCCCTTCCAAGCGCCATTAGAGATAAATAATAATGGCGTACTTAATTCCCGAATGAAATTCAATTATAATTTTACAATACTTTACTCATATTGTAAACCTGCTTAAATGAGAAAGTGAAACCCGTTCTGGAGACAGACCGTGTAATACATAAACTCTCAATTTTCTGTCGTCACTGTCTAAGAATACATAAAATTATCTTATGGGGATATCTACTTAGAGTCTGTTTCATGTTGTGTAACAGATGCCGTGGATGTGAGTCTGTTTCTGCGAGGCAAAAGCAAGGTTTGGTGACATCTATGGGTGGAGTTCTTTTGCTGGCTTCCCACTGATTTGGGAGCAGAAATGCATTTGATGTTTGACTTGTTTCCAAAAGGAGACTTCTCTCATGTCATTATAGTTTCTTCATCAAAGTATAGCATTAAGAAATGTTGACATCTGTACATCTGACAGGAATTCACAAGAAAAGTGTAACCAGACTTTTTACTTACACAATAAATTCATGAATACTTATGGACATAGTCATCTCCTGAAAGTGCTGTCAAAAATAATTCATTCACTCATAAAAAGAAACCCTGTGGAAAAAGATCGTAGGGGGGTGAACATAGATAAATTCTCATGGAGTACTATTGTGTCTGAATAGTACAATATGTTTTGTGTTCTCTAAGTTTACTGTCTAAGTAACTGAGCACAGGGCTTTAGGGTGTGTGGTTTATCCTTGTGTAATTCAGACTGTAGTTATTCATCATCATATTTTTCTTACCCAGTCATATCTGACTAATCAAATTGATTTAAAAAAATGGAACAAAGGAAGCTAAACTGTACTTGTTCGCCTGATGAATTTGTAATTTTCTGTTGGCATTGCAAGAATTACCAAAAAACTCTTAAGGATGTTTTGGGTGGGGGGGGGGGGGGGGGGGGGGGGTTCAGGAGGAACTGTTTTAGAACCAGGTTGGACATGATAGTACACTTAAACAAGCAATCAAGCTTAACAGTAACTGATTGGGACTTAGAACAGAAATTATGTGATTCATATTAAGAAGAAAATACACTTTAGAAAAAGAAGAGAAAAGGACAGATTTATACTCTATTAGTGGTCAAAAAGTGGAAAGCATTTACCACCACTGCAACGCTACCTTAATATTCTGAACAAAGGTGATATTTCAGGCAGTAACTTGTAAGAACAACCTGAGACAAAGGCAACACTATGTGCCACCAAACAAAAACTTCAACCTGTACTGAGGTCTGATGGTGGAGATGAAGAGAGTAGGATATACAGTATCTTATTTTCTATGAGACCTTTGTGACATCCCCTCTAAAGGCCATCAGGAACCTTTTAATGGAACGTACCACCCCTCTTGGAGCTAAACCTCATCAGTTAAGGAACAATGAAAGAGCACAAGGTAAAAATCTAACTTGGGTTATCTGATTGTAATTAACCAAAAGATTATTGGTTTATTCAAGCCAAATTAAATATTCCTGAGGCAAGATCTAAAGGGAGAAGTTTATGGCAAAGAAAGCAAAGGCTTGGCAGCTCAATAACTTTGGAATCCACAAGGATAAACTGTATAAACAATACAAATGGCAGATTTGAAGGTTTACATTTTCTTGGCACCCAAGAAATTAAGTTTGTTCTCGTGTTCATTAAACATTCCCAAAAGGCAAACCACAATGTGTGCGCATGAGGAGGAAATAGGATATGCATAATTTATTTCTTGAGCTAGAAAACTGGTTAACCCAATAACACCCCATTTTTTCACCTTGTGCAATTTGAATGAGCCAAAACTCTGTTTTTTGACTCCCATATTTGAAACGGGAGCTTCAGAGAGCACTCGAACGCAGCCCTGTGCTCGGCGACTGTCTCATTGATAACCAGAGTTAGAACAAGTTCTCTGAGGAGGAGACATCTGCTCCATTGTGTGAGCCAGACGGCGCAGCTTGTCAGGGGAATTTCTTATCCTCGGCACAAACCTGCCCGTGCCACAGATGGGTTACCTCACAATAAATGATTCAGAAAACGATAATGTGCCTCCAAACAAAGCAGGGGCCGTCTCTTCATGCTAATGGAATGTCTACCACAGTTAAAGTCTGGACAGAGAAGTTCTGAGGTGTCTTTTCCATGGTGGAAATGGGAAGCTGTGTGTTGGGGAAAGGTAAGCATCGTAATTGTCACGCCTGGGGGAATGTCTCGTCTTGATTACCTATTGTGTACACCTGGGGTTTCCCTCCCTCATGTGTTTAAATAGTCCTCGTTTCCCCTTGTCTGGTGCGGGGTCGTTCTTGTCTGCTTGCCTTGTCTCTTGTCCTTTCGTCCGTCATCACCCCCACGCCAGGTTTGTTTTTGTCGTAGTTCTGCCACAGTCATAGTCACGTTTTGTCATAGTCTTGTTTATCTTTATTTTGTTACTTTGTCAAGTCATAGTTTTTCCACAGTCTTGTTTGCTTGCTTTGATACTTTGCCCACCGTTTGCCACAGCTTTGTTTTGTACTTTGTCTGGACATTCACCCTGTTTTTGTTCAATAAACCTTGTTCCCCTCATCTCCGCACCTGAGTCCTCCCGTCAACACCCACCCCCATGACAGTAATCCCCTTGCAACATCGCCTCATTTAAATATTGAACAATAAATGAATCTTTCATTTCATGTAAAACACACGCTTTTCCAGACAGGAATTAAAGTTGACAAAATGAAACCCCCTGACAAAACTAACCTGAGACATCCTTTTGGCCAAAAACTAACAAGTTCCCTGAAAGATCACATTAAAAATGATGGTTCAGGCCCCAGAGCAGGAGCTCACCCACCTTCACTGCTTCACCGCGGCGTCAAAACGCTGAAACAGGGAACAGACTGTGAGCCAAAGCCTGCTGTAATATTCTGCAATTATCAGTCTGTCAGCTAAATAACACAAATCAAAGCCGATAAGGAGCCGGGACCTCACAGCAGACAGCCACCTGCCAAGCAGACACGTATACATCCCATAACCTGCAGGGTTAAATGTGACTCATAATAACCGGCAAATCTTTGATCACGTGAAGTACATTTGGATAAATTGGCACAAGCCCTTTCGCACTCACACTCCATCTCTCTCTCTCTCACGCACACACATCCACAGCATGCAGAATCCACTTCACTCGTTTTTCCCTCCGTCGACTGATTTTGGCCTTATGTGCGACATCAAAGTAGAAATCTCATCTGCCCCCTCTGTCCTTTGTTGACACGGACATTAGTGAATCTGAGACGTGTCCCTCCTGATTGTCAGCCTCTTTCTGTTCCGCGTGGGAAGATTAGAAAGGAGCCGGCAGGGGCAAGAAGAAAGGAGGCTGAAGTGGAGAGGCAGATTTGTGGAGACATGAATGGCTTGCAGGTGTTTTTTCTCTCCTTTTTTTCTTTTGGAGAAAGAGGAGAAAGTGGGATGGATAGAACGGGAGGTGTCATTATGTTTTATGGCAGAAGAAGTGTTTGTGAAACTGAAGCCCGGCCCCGTGAAGATGGCCCATATGAAAAGGAATGACAGTTTTATGTGCCGCAGCATAAGTGTTTATGCGTTTCTGCACAGCCGACATATCTGAAAGTGAAGTCTGGAGGGAAAGAGGAACAGCTTTGCTCACAGGTAGTACTAAAAAATAACCGAGGTAAACGAGTGCTCTGTCAGGCTGAGGGAGCCACCACCGAAACCCAGGGAGAAAAGTGATAAAACCAAATTTCTGCTGATCTATTTCTGAGGTGTGATCACAATTCCGTTTGCTCACAAAAGACTTCACTTGATTGCATTCACAGCTTGTGCTCGATGAAGTTATTACGTCCTCCATTCTGTTCAAAGTGGACCTGCACACCGGCAATGAACTAACGTCCTGAAGCCAGGAGCCTTGAAAACATCCACACAGCAGCTGTTATCTGAACATCAATCAACCAAGGCCTCCTCTTGTGTCTTTGGTTTTCTTGTTAACATCCTGAAGTTCTGCATAGTCTGCTTTCATCAGGGAGCCCTGAGTGGAGCTCTCTTACGGCCGGAGTTCAAGAGCGAGAGGAGCCTGGTGGCATGTGTGAGTGCCAACCTAAATACAAGTATGTTCTTGGCCTTGGAATGTAAGTGTTTTGAAAGTATCTGTGTCAGTTGAAATATTTGGTTGAAATTCATTTATTTATATGACCAGGCCAGGTAGACTTTGGCAAATGGCAAATGGTTTTCTTTCTCACCAATCCGTCGGTTTTCTAAAAACAAACAAAAAACATAGACTGCCTGGAACATTACTCCGACAGACTTAAAAACATTGATTGTACGTGTTATTTTTATTTCTGTCTTTCATACCTGACCATATGAATACCAGAAAAAAACGCTTCAGTGTTGGAAAGGCAAAACAAATGAATACAACAAACTAAATTTGCAAAAGGATTTTAATCGGAATCATTTTAATCATTCTTGGTTCAATTTACAGTTTATTTATTTTTGTCAAAGGTAAACCCAAGTCTTGTGGTTGTCTTCAACATCAGTAAATGCTTGTTGCCCACTTCCCAGACCCCCCGGTAACATAAACTAACATTACTGAAGAGCACATTCTCTCACACACACACTTGCATATTCAGATCCTACAAATGACTCCATAATGAGTACGAAATCTCTAAATGCCACATACTTGAAAAGCGCGGACGAAACACATTCCACACACACACACACACACGTTAGTTCTCTGTGCTCACTCGTACAAGCACGCACGACAAACACACGCGCACACATTCCATAACCAGCGTGTATTGCAAATTTACATCACAACGCAGACCTTCCAGACGCGCATGTGCTGCCCCTCCTGCGTTCACAGTTGGTTTGCGACATGCTTTTTCAGCAACATGTTAAGCAGTAGCTTTCACATGACAGCGGGGTTACCGAGTGTTGATCCTACTGATTAGCCATAACCAATAACCCTCTCTTTAAGTCAGGCTGAATTACATCTATTTTATCTATACAAGCAAATGCTGCGGTAAAAATTCCACTGTTTAAAAAAAAGAAAAAAGTCGTTAAAAAAAATGGCACAATAGCTTATTGAGCAAAGGCCTACAAATGCACGCTAATAAGTTATGTAGATAAATAAGATGCTTTAATGCTAAAATAAATACATTTGAACGGTAAATAAATTAGAATAGCACAACGTTGTAATCTGATTAACACCTTGCCTACACTGTCCAGTATTACAGTATAAAAAAAGTTAACCTCTCCTTATTGTCACATTCATACGTTTTTTTTTCACTTGTTTTTTTTTTTCAATTTTTAATAAAATGACGGCAGCGTTACTTTGAGACTCAAAGCACAATTTCTTCTCAGGCACCTGCCGCACTTTGGCGACGGTAAGGGGTCGTTTCCATGGTGAGGGTGACTGCTATAGTGGCCATCAGCGCTGGCCGGCTGCGGACCTCTGAGGTGGAAAGGGAACAGTCTAGGAGTAAAAGGGGGGCTTGCTGCTTACAAAGGTTTTGAGCAAATGCAAATTGGAGGCATTCTCAATGACTGTGCCGATTGCTACCAGAAGATCGCCCGGACCCTCCGCCAAGTGTTGAAAGCAAATGCAGTGGAACAAAGTACACATCTACCACTTTTACTGTGTCTAAGTGCCATCAAATGACTAGTCAAGGGTCTGTATTTTTCTATGGTTGGTACATTGTGAAGGCAGGAAATGCAGACAAAAGACTAGTTCACAGAGGGCACTGCTTACCCTCCAAAGAAAGGCTTTGCTTCAGCACCCGTCACAAAGCCGGGGTTGTCCGTAATGCCTGAAAAAATTGATAATCGAAAGGGCCATGGATATCCTATCAAAGTCGTTCTCTTTCCTTGATCTCTTTTCACCTCCAGTCGCAACACATCAGTGTAAAAACATTCTTCAGTGTCCAGAACAATGGCGACAGTTCTCGCCATTCACCGGTTTACACCAGTGTCCTGTCGGGCCCGGGCACGACCGGGACACTTTTTCTGAGTCCGTCTTTCCCTTCACAACATCAAAGCTGGGTATACTGTTTAATCATGTTGGATCCACGGTCCAAGGCCACAGCATCCACAGCAGAGTCCATGTTTGCCATTATCTCCGAGGCTAACACTAACTACAGCCATGCCTTCATCAGCAACCGACCGTGTTGCCTAAAATCCCTAAGTGTCTTTTTTTTTTTTTATATATCCCATGCTACAAGCGTGTAAAACTGCATCTGTATCATCACGAGTCTGACCTACATCCTTTCAGAGAGCAGTATAGAAGTCTGATTCTGAGTATCGGTTGTAATTTCCATGTGGTCACCACACCTGAAAGAAATGTAGTCATGTGATGAATGTCCAACAACACATGGCGCATCAAGATACACACGTGTGATTATGACAGCAAAAAGGCCTCTCTTTTTGAAGTCCATGACATTTTTCTTTTTTGGAGTCTCTGTCATGGTTCCTAACTGTCGCACTTCTTATCGACTCTCTTCTTCGCTTCTTGCCAAATATCGCATCATGAAAAACTCGGTGGATATGAAGCCCTTTGGACAAGGCGGTCCAGTTATGCGTGAGGCGCCACTGTGTGACAGTCGCTAGGACAACAGGATGGCGGACACCAGCAGCGTTGCCACGGTGAGAAGAAGGCGGTCGCGTGACGGACTGCTGCCACTGACGCTTTTCTCCAGCTTAGGGACTTCAGGGTTAAACTCATCTGCAGAGCACAGAAGGAAAAGAAGGAAAATGTGACAAGAGAAGATGACGGTTTGAGACAAGATCAATTACAAGCATGCCAGACAGAAGGAAACAAATAATTAGTGATTTATCCAGCTAAAGGAAGTGTGTGATACATTCTAAATATTCTAACATATGCAGAAAGAGAGAGAGAGACTGTGCAATTTTCTACCAACTGCTCATTATCATTAGCTACATATGGCTTTTCCCTGTGGGATGGAAAATGAAAAACACTGCTGTTTCTGATCTGTTCTTTCCACGTATTCCTCTTTTTGCTCTAATGAAGTTTTCGTCCTCGAGGGATTTCAATCAAACCAAATTATTATGGCCTCACCATTGATTAGACACAACAGAACATTAGCTGGAGGGGAAAATGGAGAAAGCTGGAAGAGCACATTTAGCAATATTCAGTAAAAGCTGATTACAGGGTAATAATCCTAAACACAGAAAGAGCAAAAGAAATCAGACAAATAATATGCATCCATCCAAAGCTGTAGGACAACGTCCGACGGCTGCATTTAATGACAAACATTTTTTTGACAGAGGTTCAACTAATTAAGAGACAAGCTTTCATTTCCAAATGTTGGTTATGCCAACCCCCACGAGGCATTAAGAGAGATGTTGATGATGGTAATGACAGCGTATGTCAGATCTTGGAGATGTGCAAAACTAACATTACTGATTGCATTAACTGGGGTTTCTCTTTGGGTTAATGCCAAGTTGTTGTCAAAAGTAAATAGAAGCTGAATACAATGCTTTGCTAATCACATGAAAATTTCATTTAAAAAAAAGCATTTTTTATCTATTTACGCTTATTCCATAATACATATTTCAGGAGCTACTCAAATGATGGAATTGTTAGGCAATCCTGAAAAAAATCACGATTGATTAGTTAATTGCCAACGTGTTGTAGTGTGCAAATAGTCTGATAATTCAAGAATTAACTCGAATCAATCTATTGGCTTTGAAAAACTGCAAAGCCAAATAGAATCTGTATGGTAATGTATTCAATCCCCAAGAGAGCAAAAACTGAAAGATCCAGACAATTACACTGGAGGAACTAAGTTAAAGAATACGGTCATAACAATAAATCTGTCAAGCTGCAACTTATTATATGAAAGTGTAATGCTGTCATCACCCCAAAAAAATGTTATACCTGCATAATTTAAAGTAAAAATTTAAAAATGTCTTGGAGTTCACAAAATTTAAGCAGACTTTTCCTTTGGTATGAAAGTGAGTAAACAAGTTGTCTGTTTCAGTTAAATGCTGAAGTCTGGTCCGGAGATTGCTAAATATAACTTAAAGAGGAACCGTGTACAAGGAAAAACAAGCACAGTGATAACAGAGATGACAGGTGATATTTGATGAATGTACGGAATTCAGGTTTTTTTGTTGACTGTCTGTCAGAAAAACATCCCGCCGCTCTGGTTTGGGCCACTTGCATGCGTCACGAACACAAGACACCTGGATGATGGCTCACAACACTGACCTTCACACTGCTTCATAACCAGCTTTAAACATGAATTGATATGGAGAGTAAGGAGAGTTTAAACCTGTAAGTGTGTGGGTGCTAACCCGCCTTCAGATAAACATCCATGCCGAATCAGCTTCCTTGTAGCTTTTGTGTTTGACATTAATCTTCGAGGCTTCTTTGTGGAAACCAGGAGCTTTGACAATCACTAAGCCGCACAATATGCACCTCTTCATAAAAACTTGCTATTTAGGGAGGCCGGCCTTGAAAGATGAATGTGGGGGACGTTGGATGCCTCAGGCCACAACAACTTATCAAAGGTCTGCAGTATGACAGCTAACTTCACAGTACAAATGTGGGATACAGCAATCAATTTCCACCACATTCTTGTCGGTATCGGCTTTAACAACAGCAATCTTGCCGTTGAGGTCCTCTGTCCACAGTGGACCGCCCGAGGCATTTACAGTGAGATAAAAAAAAAGCTGGGCTCCAGACTGTCGATGAAGAGCAAAGGTTGTCTGGGCTGATAAATCCTGGTGCCAGCTATGTAGCACCGCGGGTTGATATACAAGGAGGCATTTCCAGCATCAGGCCCGATGCTGCTCACGACATGTGGCTTTATCTAAAATTCAATCCATTGATCATCGATCGATTGCCATCTGTAGAATCACCACCTTAACATGGTGCATGGTGGAGGGGTGTGAGCTTCCCCAAGAACTCAACATTGGTCTTGGAAGGGGTGTTGCCCCTTACTGAGACTATCTTGAAAATTTCGTCTCAAAACAGGGGTTCCACTAAGAACTAATGAAAGACATGAGATTCTGAACTGGACTTCTTTTTGGATCCTGCATGAGAGGGTAAAATTTTAACTAAAGCAGGGGTCATTTGGCAGGTACAGAGTTACTAATAGGGCTGCAGCGTAGGTAGTCCCTAAAACTTGGGTGTGGGGTGAGCTGTTGATCAAATCTGAGGATATTAGTGTGTGATGGAGAGAGCACTTCCAGAACATTAATCCATCCAGCATGGCATCCGTGGTGTACAATGCGCTAGGAGGATCTAAGCCTGAAAAAGCAATACTGATGAGAACATCTGTGAACTGCCTGTTGTAAGGTGCTCTAAAAAGTAAAATGCCAAGTATAAGCATTTCTTTATGAATCATCTCTAAAGTTTGAGTAATGCAATGGACTCATAAATGTTAATTGCAAAGAGCTGGAAACAGCTTTTAATGGGGGCCTGTAACAGTGGCCTGCTTCATAAAAGTGATTCATAAGCATTGTTCTCACGCAGGCGGCGAATGGTTGCAGATTCCCACTTTACAAATGAGGAAATTGTATGAATATATAAAGTAGGCAGCCTCGGTAGTGTTTTTATTGTTCCCCTTGATTTTCACTTCAAGGGAATGCGGGAATACCGGCAATGACTCAGTTTCATGTTGCTTTCCATGCTTTCCCTCATTCTAATTGAGACATCTTGTTTGTGGATCAGGCTCTTGATCATCATTCCTCTACATCAATCTTTTATGCATGATGTCTACCAACTGGCTGATAGTATACAACTAACACTCCAAACTGACCGGTTATAAATGTCTTGGCAAACGTATTGCATCATAAGCCATGGATAAAACTGTAAATTGAAGATAAGGGCTCTTTAATATCTGTACTGGATATTGTCGTAATAGCTGGTAACACAGGGACCAAAAGCTCTAGCTGTAACACATCAGAGTTAAGACTGCGTTAAATAAGGAAAATGTGACGTAAAGGGAAAGCTAATAATAAAGAAAGGAGGACGACAGAAGTGCAAACGTAACGTATGTGAGGGAGAATAGGGAGAGATTAAATGCTGAGCCCGTCTGTGGGCTGGTCTGGTCCTGAGGCTGAGTCAGAGAGTGGGAGTCCAGCAGTCAGCAGGGCCATCAGAGGTTGCCTGAAAGTGTGTGTGTGCGTGTGTGTGTGCGTGTGTGTGTGCGTGTGTGTGCGCGTGTGTGCGCGTGTGTGTGCGCGTGTGTGTGCGTGCGCACAAATCGGCGTGTCCTGGTTGTGTTGTTCCTCTAAATGTATTCAGCAAAATGCATCACAGCCCTCCAGGGAATGATTTTTTATGATTCCCTGCCAGAGTGTTTTTTCTTATATTAAAATCTACGTAAGCTGAAGCCTGAGTTACTGCTGAGCAATTCGCCCACCACTGAGCTTTTCTTTTACTCTAACCCTTCACTCTACACCCCCCATATCTGCCCCCACTCTGGTTTTATCTCCCTTTCCTGCCTGTTTCTCTCCCTCTCTCTCTCTGCCTTATCTGTCCTTCTTTCTCTTCCACTACCCTCTTACCATCGTTTATCTTGCTGACTTTCTCTTTGTCTCTTACTCTGCCTCCCAATCTACGCGTCTCATATATTTCTCATATGTTTCCTGCCTTTGTACTCTCAGTGAAGGTGAATGTTGCTTATGGCTAAAGCGCGATCTTTCATACAGTCTCTGTTGGTCTCAGTTTTCATCTCAGGCGGGTCACGCTCGCTCTGCCCTCGTCCCCGACTGCCCACAGTGCCTAGAAACAAGCATACTAAATGATTCCCGGCAAGGAGCTTTTGTTTGAGTTGGGGATGGAGAAAGACAAAGAAAAATACAGGGTTTATGTAACCACTCAGATGTGCAATAGAGCTGCTGGCTGACATGCTGGCTTCTTAGATAAACACGGACCTCTCATTTCTTACAAGACCCCTACTGACCTTATGGATTTTACACAGAGGAAAAGAGAGAAAGCTTCGGAAATGTGGAGGATCCGCAGTGATCTGTCATTTATTTGGATGACGTGTCTCAGTGCTCCTACATTCCTGTGCAACGGATGACTGCACGCCCCTCCATTTGTAATCTGTATTCCTCATCGGGTGTAACTCATTAGCTTAATTTTTATTTAAGGTAACATGAAGTCATGGACTGCTCTGTAGTATCATGAGAGAATGAATGGAGCTGATGGGAGGAAACAATTAATCTTTTAATGACAGTGACAAATGAGCAGTGTAACAAGGTCACTATCGGGGCCAGCTCTGTTTCACCGCTTTGTCTTAGTCCTTCCACATCATTTATTGTAATACATATGTCCGTTTAACAAATGGCAGGGATTCCAAGAGTGAAACATGAGTTGTTTAACGATAAGTTGAGACAAGTTAATATAATCACATTTCTTAATACGCTATCTACTTGTGAATAATTTGGAATTTGATAGCAGTAGTATGATGACAGCAGGATAAGATTATTACTACAGTTGCAGTTGTATTCCTTGCAGATTGTGGTTCAGGATGATGTTAAAGAAATAAACGTCAGCAGAGTTATGCATTTAGCAGAAGATAAGAAAAGAAAGATTATCTATTAATTGGGACTCTACGGATTATTACTCCTGAGCTGTGGCCCACAAATGCTGCTCTAAAATCTGTTTAAACCTGCTGTTTTTGAAGTGCAAACAGTCCACAATTTCCCAAAAATGTTTTTCAATTTTTGATTCACTGGGATGCAACATGTTACGACTTCACCTCATCACATTAGATTAGACCATCTTAATTGATTATGGCGCTATTCAGGCGTTACACATCTAAAATTCACTGGTCATTTATCAAAATTAATGGTGCAACGTGACTGGGTATTGGTGGTAGCAAATGAAACGTTCTTGAGAGATAAAAAATCATATTGCATGTTTTTTTTATGATTGGCATTGATTTAGATTTTTTCTTATATTTTGTTGTAAAAGTTTACCATCTTGTTAAATGTATTTAACAAAAACAAAAGTAAGCATCACTCTCCTTTTTACATTTTGCAGACACATCAAGCAGCGCATCAAGTCTGAACCAGATATTGACAAGTACCTGGAATTCGACTGTTGTTCGTTTTAGCTAATGGTCACTCACCAATGTTGTGTATTTTGATGTTTGGCCTGACTGTGTATTCTGGAGAAGTCTGACTGGAGTCGTCATCTGCCTGGGAGGCTGAGAAACACAAGACAATATACAAATTAGGACTGAGAAAATTGGAAGTAATAAAAACCAGAGGAGAGAAAGAATGATGGGAAGAGTCCCACAAAGAGTAAGACATAGACAAAGGGGGGGAAACACCCCAATACAATGAAAAAGCTTGAAAGATGGGCATTTTAAGCATCATCAAATTGGATGCTGTTGTAGCACACCATGCTGGAGATACTGTTAGCCTGCCTCAGAGAAAGAGGGTAGAAGCCATGGACTGTGAATCCAGACTGTGACCTACAGATTTAGGGCTGGTGGAGAAATCGATATCACATTGGCTGTTCAACTGGACACTGAAATCAGTTTCAAATACCAAATTAACCATGAATGAATGATACATGGGATCACTGATGGGGGAAATATGTTTATTTGTGTTTGTCAGTCTTATCCGTGTGCCTGCATTCTAACCTGTGTGTAATAGTTGCGAAGATGAAAATGCCTTAGCAAGGAACACACAGAGGCTGTGAGTCTGCGGCTGTTTGAAGGTCCACCTTATCTTGAGGTTTTGTGTTGTTAGTTTCAAAGTGGGTGTAGCAGTTATGCAGCAATGAAAGGAGGGCGACCGAGGTCAGTTGTTGCTGTTAGACGGACTTAATGCACTGATACACGCATGTTGGACAGATTTGCTGCTGAGATACTGCCATGTGCGGACGGACACGCACGTGCTCGGCCTCTTTAAACAAAACGCACACAAACACCGACGCAAACGGAAGCCGTCCAGACGCATCGACAGATTAGCAGTGGCACCGGGATGTGTTGAGGTGATGTGTACACGGGGGCTGACACTGGCCTCGGTGTGGGATATGTATCGGTGCTGACAGGGTTAGAGGAGAGGGGGGGGGGCTCTCTGTGTTGGGAGGCCTGATCAAAGGCCTGCAGGGGCGAGAGCGGGCTACCGGGGTAAAAATAACACACACTATACACAGCAGCAGCAGCAGGCATCAGAGGGAAAGATGGAGAGAAGAAGAGGGGGGTTGGTCAAGAGGAGAGCTGATGGAGGAGGGGAGATAACGGGAGGCAGGGGAGGGCAGGGAGAGCTGGATCTTGCTCAGTCGGCTTTTTCCCTCCACATTTTTTGCTACATCTTTACAAGAGCATGTCAGTAAGGCATCACTGTAATAGCACTGAGACAGAGAACGACATTAAGCCATCACTCTCCAAGCACTACTTCAAGGGGGGGAAAAAGCACCATTATCCAAACCTTGCCAAAACAGGCACAAGAGAGAAAAGCCTAAATCTAAGATGACTGTCATCTCTTAGTTTTCCTCCCCTCCACCCTTCCTCTCTGGGCCTTTCCATCTTTGTGTTTCTCTCTGTGTTCGTGTGAGATGAAAGAACATACGAGGAGAGTGGAGGCAAAGTGGTCTCACCAGTGGAGCAGCAGACGTAGACCCTCAGTCTCAGGCAGCTGTGGCCGTGGTGGTGAGTGGGCGTGGCTGTCAAAGAGAGCAGAGAACACCAACAACGTTAACCTTCTGCCCTCTGCAGGCAACAGAACCCACAACCGGACGCGCAAAATGGGACCACTGGGCAACAGCCTGTCCTTAGCTGAACCTCCAGTATCTATTAGTAACCAGCAACGATCAATGATGGGAGTCAAGGGAAGCCATTTATTGTTTTAGGCTCATTTGTAAATATTGGATGAACCCCACCCTGAGGCTTTTTCTATCCATCCCAACGAACCGGACGAGTGGCCTGACTCACAGATGTAGTAATACTCCTGGCCCACGTTGAACTCGTAGCCCAGGGAGAAGGCGCTGTAGCGCTGGAACTTCTCGGAGAACTTGATGGGCGCGTGGGGGGCGTGGGGCCGGTTGCACTCCCAGCGCTTGAACCCCAGCTGGGGGTCACAGGTGCGGTAGCCGCGGTAGCTGACCATGTAGAGGATGTACTGCTCGGCCGTGCTCCGCTCCAGCGCCCCCCGCTGACTGCTGTTGTAGTGCGGGCAGTAGATGTCCAGGTAGTCGTTGACGCTGACTTGGACCGTGTATCCCTCTCTCCGAAGCCTGAATCCCGGGAAAAAAGAGAAGCACAAAAGAGAAAAAGCTGTTGGATCCCTGAGTCCATTGCTGTCATTATGCTCTGAAGGAACAGTTGGAAACAGTGGACTGCATCTGAAATGTCATGCTAATGTTCAATTTATGTGAGGGGTCTGTTAGGAGAATGCATTTCACGCCGTGCAATGAAACAGTGTTACAAATTTAAAAATGGAGGTACGATGTCTCATATTGGAGGGGTTAATATGTCTGTCGAAATAGTTTTTCACAATACTATTTAATCATTTAAGATGTGTTACCGAGGAAACACCTCACTACCCGCATGTGAAGACAAACATGTTGTACTTTATTCACTCAGAAATGTGTTGAAGAGCTTGCAGAATTTTTTTAAACCAGTGTTGGAGTCTTGCTATAATTGTGAGGGTTGCCGGGCAACCGCACTCCAGGAAATCGCTTTCTCCAGACTAAAAATAAATAAATAAATACTTGCTCAAAATAGTTGTTTTTACATTTTGCAAACAAAGACAATCTGTTGCTAAGTGCTTATGGCCATGTTTTAAATCCAAACAGAGAATGGACAAATTCCCCAAAAGTCCAAAAATGGCTTTGAGTTGACTTATAAATTCATACCTGATAAGAAAACTCCTGACCACTTGCAATCTTAACAATATCCCATTACGAAATAATGTTGGAATTTTATACAAACAGAAGACTGTTCAGAGCTGGGAAGAATTATGGATAGTTTTATGGGTCATTTAAAGCATGCTGTTTCCATCTGTGCACAAAGAAGTAGAAGTTGGAACTACTCTCAACACTGCATTCACACAAAAGCAACAAAATTAGGCTAAAGACATTGTGTACTTTGACAAACTTATTTTTTATGTTAAGATGAACAACATCACCTTTCCTCCTCCCCCCTGCACATAAAACCGCAGCCTGTTAGCAGGCAGTGAAGCTACTCTGCGGCCATACACACAGTACGTGTGCACGGGGTGTGCACGGTGCTAAAGCCATCTTTCAACTTTCAACTTCAAATCCCTTATGGGAACGACTGCGAGGATGATGTGATTGCAGCCGCTGTGCTGCTACCTACAGCGTTTGCGATACTAACTATACTTATTATGTAAATTACACAATCTGTAATTACACAAAGTAGAAGTCATTACAGGGGCTCCAGCAGGTGAACTGATGAGATGGGAATTGTCCTAGACTGCGGTGATGTGTGACCAGATGTAATGACTCGTTTCTTCCATTAGGTGGAGATAGTGCGCTGTGCTTCATGTGCCAAACTCTCACCCCCCCCCCCCCTCCATTTCTTCAGTTTTTTTCCGCCTCTTTTTTAACATTTCTTTTTACACATTATCTGATACACACGTACAGAGAAAGCCCACACTTCCTCACACTCATAACCATCCATCACTGTGGATACGTTGTGCCGGCACACTGTGCTATTGTCAAGTTCCCGCAAACACCCGCACGTGTGCGCACGTTAGTAGGTCAGGCCCCAGGAGGGATGATTATTCAATTAGAAAACAAAGACTAGAAATGTCATAACACCCCTCCTTTGCTTTCTTTATATCACTTTTTTTGCTTTCTTTATATTCCTTTTTCTGGATCCCGTGCTCCACTCTGATGCTCTTTGTCCATTTTATGACGCCTCTCATCATTTCCACACACGCTAAAGGCAGATGAGCATCAGTTCTTACCCGGTGTGCCTTTAGAGCCATCAATCTTATCTGTGCTTTCTATCTCCGCTGCTCAGATGCAAGATGAGAGACTTTTGTCTTGCGGTGTCTTGCGGGAAGAAACAACACAGCCATGCTTCAAAAGGACTATATTTAGAGAGGGGAATGTGTGCAGGAGGGGAGAGAGAATGAGACGGGGGGGGTATGTAAAGAGGAACAATGGGTGTAGGGGTAGAGACAAAGGTAGACATGAGATGAAAGTGAGCAATGGAGGTTGTGCTGCATATTAAAACGCACATGGAGGAGAATCCTGGATGCAGGTGGTGTGTGTAAACTCAAAGAGTCATTGAGGAAAGTGCGAGAGAACAGCAGCGTGGAAAAGAAAGCCGCTCGCGAGAATGCAAGGGAATCCAGGAAGAGAAAGGGGCTCGCCTGATCTCTAGTCATTCTTTGTTCATGACGGATGAAAAGTCAGAAGAATGAAAAAAAAAAGAAGATCTCAACCTTCAATATTTACCGGTCGTACCGTTTGAAACGTTTACTTTTTGCCGTTCGTAACCGAACGATTCTTCCAGTGCTTAGTACCCCCTGTTCAGCCGATCTGCGCGTGTTTTGGTTCTCACTTCGGCTCGACTAGCCATAGCAGCACAGCGGGGAGACTGTTTGCTCCAAACATTGTCAGCAACAAAGAAGCATGTGAAGGAAGGCTGAGGGTGAGATAAATGGGGGGCAAGAGGAGAGAACGGGAGGGATGAAAAAGGTGGAGGGATGAAAAAGCGCGTGGGTGAGAGGAAGAGGGAAGTCCCTCCAGGAGTATGCCGTTATATAAGACGTCCACTTAGTGACACAAGACGGAAAGATTGCCGGGCAGAGAGGAATGGAGGAAGGAGAAGGGAAGAGAAACAAAGGGAGGGGTGAGAACCGATTTAATAACTCACGGTATAGGGGGAAGAAGGGGCATAGTATGAGAGGAAAATGGATTGAATGATGATGACAACAAAGAGCCAGGCACAGAGAGGGAGGCTGGGGCTGAGGCAGAGGCCCAGCAGTCCTCTGGGATCAACATACATGTAAAAGTGCATTAAAAAAAAACGACTGATGGATCTTATTCGCATGTTGCATCTTTTCCTGCAGCACCTTCCCCTTTACGCTGCCTCCTTTCTCTTTCCGCCGTGCATTATCTCTGCGGTGGTTTTGCTGTCTCATCATCATTTTCCGAAGAGTAGGGGAGCATAGCTAGTTGGCTGCGCAAGCCGGTGAAGACTGCCAGGGGGAGGGAGGCGGCACAGGGGGGGGAAAGTGACAGAAGAGGAGGGGTGAAGAAAGTGGAAAGAAGAAGGGACTGAGAATGAGACAAAGATAGCTCCACTGCACCTTTCACATCTGTGCTAAAAAGGCTCCTCGGAGAATGCCGGCAGTAATAAATAACAATGGTAAGGTAACGCTAGAGTGAAAACAGAGTGAGAGGAAAAGGAATAATTTTAGCAGCCACGGTAAAGCAAAGTAAGCAGCCAAGTAAAAAAAACAAAAACAAACACTGTGTAGAATCATTTCTAAGTGACTCAGTAAACATTACTCATTAATGTCTTTATTCTTTTTCAACAAGTAATAAGCTTGAAATCCACAGATTTCACTCCTTTTTGCCATTCTTCTGGCCTCTTTTGGGTCGGTCTTATTGGGAGTTTGCTAGCAGCCTGCTAACTGCTCCTGGATGTGCCAACTTGGTGCAGCAGTTTGAAGTGGAGGAAACACATTCCACTCCGCCAAAATGCCAACCTTCTCAAAAAACACCTCATTGACATGTTGGGTGTCCAGTAGGTTTGCTCGGTTCATGGGTCTAAGCATGTACGAACTGTCAGGATTCATTTTCTTCCACGCTAACCGTTGCATGGTCCGGACCTCGCTTGTTAAAATTCTGGGTTTTGGTCTTGTATTCTAATAGGGTGTGACATGCAGGTGTGGAGAACATCAGCTTCAATGAGCATCTGTTGCTTCTGGGCTCAGCCTCTGAAAACGTCCCCCAAAACTAACAGCTCTCCCCACCCCTGACCTTTTGAATAATTAAATTTTAATTTCTCCGCTCAAATGCCTGGAGGAACATTTCACTGTCCTCAGTTTCTGGTGTCAGACAAAGTATCCCAATTAGCCGCAAGGTTGATGAGAGGTAAACATGGCACCGTGCTTAAAAAAAGAAAAAAAAAACGGAACATAAGATATCTGTGTCTATTAGATTTATGATTTCTGCTTAAAATTAACAGACAGTAACATATGAGCAATGGCTGGTTTCAACAAGTTAAACAGGTAAAATGATTTAATTTTATGGCTCTGCATCAGCCACTAGTCACCACCCATGCTGGCAATACAAGAATGAGAACATTCATTCAGTCACGTCCAGCCTCTGTTTTCTTTTTTCTTTCAGGAATGAAGAACACTTATCAATTATGTATCTTCACAGTGTGGAGTGTTACGTCCTCCACATGCGCAGTGATGGAAGGCTGACAAAATCTTTGTATGCAGAGACAGAATTTCCACCCTGGACAAAGAAAATATTAGGAGCTAAAATCACAGGATCATTTTATTATGGGATTGAAATGAGCCTTTCACATAACATAAGTCACAGTCAAGAGCTGACAGTATATTTTAGCCAAATTATTCCTCAGATATCTTCTGTAAATGCACATTTTAGCAACTGTCAATTGCTGATTTATGGAAAATACAAATGAAAGCAAAGTGTCAATTTCAATGTGTGAAAGCAGTTTTCAAAATACTACATCCAAGATTTTCCTGCTGAAATGCAGTTTGTCATTCACAGATATCTGAGGTTTCTCCCCATGACTGCTTTATGTGCTTCGACATTTAACGCACATATCCCAAGAACTATCTAGAACTATGTAAACTATATCTAACTGTAATACACACGTGTCTGCAGTTTGTCATTATCCGTTTCCGATGCCCAAAAAAAATAGTTATCGTAACTTTTTACTAGTCACATCCGACTCTCTAACATGTCGAATACCTTTACTGTGTGTCTGAGAATATGGAGGGCCTTCACACAGTACTGATGAGGTCAGCATGGCATCTTAGCGGATTTCCTTAAAAGCACTCTCTGGGGTAATCACCGTCTGCCTCCACTGGAGGATAAACTAGGGTTGCACAAATTGCCACGACTCAAATGCCATTTGCCAAATAACTGTTTACCACAGCGAAGACTCCGCCAATCAAGTTCCCTGACAGGGACCAGCTACTCTTTGCTGTATTTTTCCTTTTTTTTTTTTTCTTTACCTCAGCACCAAAACTCATTAGGCGAAAGCTCACACAGGCGGCTGAACGAGGACACACACAATCACTGCGTCTCCCGTGAGTCGTCGCTGATTGAGTTAACGCTGCAATTAACAGCGTGGTTTACAGCGTTTCGATCCAAAATGGAGGATTTAGGGAGAAACAAGTGCTGAGCCAGTCGGTGGGAAGAGGCAAACGCTGCAACTCTCTCCTGTTACTATTAAACCACAGGGAGTCATTGGCAGTGTCCTAAACAACCTCAGTTCACTCGAGCCATGGAAAGCTGGAGAAACACACATTTAACGCTTTTGGGTTTTCATCTAAAACATTACAAACCTGAAATGCCCATCTCTTGACCCCACTTAATGTTGGGACATACATGTTTCCTTATGTAAAAGCGAGTCTTGATCAACGATGTCTTGAAAGAAATGACCTAAGAAAATACCTTTAACGACAATTTAATGATTCAATCCAACCACATGTCAGCACTTCTGCTGGGCGACTCTCATTAGCGTGGACGGAGCATGATATCTGCTATCTCTTCAAGCTTAATTACAAACCAAAGTCAAGTCTGAAGCAAGGGCAAAAAAATCGTAATATTTTCCAGCGAATCGAATAAATCACGCGCTGCCATTCTCTATCCACAGAGCAGTGAGAGATTTACCACCCCAAACAGCGTTTTTTCTGCTGCGCAGCTGAGAAAGGCCGAAACGCTCCAGCTTTGAAATGAATAAATCATTTTGGTAATTAATAGATTTGTATTGATGTCGCCTGGTCATGACATTTACACCGCGTGCCAACAACAATAAACTGGAACAAGCTCACAAGTCCTCAGTCACGGCCGCCGTGGTTAGCTCCAGCAGAAAGGAAGGTTTTATCGATCTATTGTTAGCGGAATCTCTTTGATTTCTGCTCTCCGTGGGGTGAGGGGTGTCTGGGCTAATTCTCGCTAACACAGTGGCTGAGGAGTAGATGTTTTGGTTAAATTAAAGAGTTGTCTCTCTGCTAACTAACCTCCCCGCAGATAAGCTGCTTGGGATCTCCGTCCCCCCCGGCCTGGCTTCAGGCATGCCTTCCGTGAGGTGTGGAGCTGGAGGGGCCCATTTGGAAAAGTAAAGCATAAGCCAACCTAACGAAGACATATGCATCTAAAAGAGAGATATGCTGCTAGCAACCTTGGACTTATTCTAAATAAGAGTAAGAAAACGTGATGATTTTGGACATAAGTGAACTAATGAAAATATTTTTAAAGCCCTTGTGAAGACACTTCATACTTCTAATTTAAGATATCTGTGTACATGTATGCAATCTTGATAAATAAAAGATGCACGGCACTGCAATTCTACTTAAGCACATTCCAATAGTCCCATCACATCTTAATCTGATCCATAAATTACTTTTCTGACTCACTTTTTTCACTTTGTTAAATCAAATCTGTTCCTGGACATTATTTCTTCACATCCTCACATAGTGGTTAAAAATCAGTTTAAGAAATACATTCTCCAAACTGATGCCTGTCACTGTGTGAATTCCACAATAAAGTTTATTTATTAAAAATGATCTCAGTCATCTAATTGCTGTGATCCTTAAAATCCTCCAGGTTTGGACACTGTTCTGTTTTAAGGAATCTTATCTAAGAAGACGCAGGACTGATTAAAGCAACTTTGGGATTTGCTAGCTGCCAGACTGGACATATTTGTTTGAGTTGTAGCGGTAAATAAAAACAAAACTCATTATGATTAACATAATGGTGCCATTTCCACAGCTCCGGCCTGTGATTGAATCACTTACTAAGTATTTATGGGCTGTAGGCAGCTCATTTGAAGGAAATGTGAACAAGCATACATTCCATTCATTAATCCATGCATTTTAAACCACTTTTTGCTTTTTAGACATCCACATAGGAAGTTCAAATATCCAACAGAAATATAGAAGACACAGATGAAGAGTAAATACTGGCACTCCTCCAGCCAGCCTTTTCACATATAAAGAAATATTTCAGAGGCCAGTAGGTGTCTTATCTTTGCTTTTATTACAGCAGAATGTTTCCAATGACCTTTTGGGTTGTTAGGACTTAGCTTTGCTAAACTCGCTACAGAGTTATTGTGGGACTGGAGGCCGGTTTTCAGAGATCAGCTCAGCAGCAAAGACGTGTTGAGAATAAACTCTGACCTCGTCAAACCCAGGGAAGGACCTCCTTTGACAGATTAAGACGATTAACAGTAGGATGTGGAGCCATTTAATGACCTCACTGGGGCGTCATACGGTGTATTGCAAAGAAAGATAGGGCTGAGAGAAAAAGTACATTCTCACTCAGTTCTTGATCTTTAATGTCTAACAAGGCAATGCAAACTTGAAGGAGCAAAAGTTTTTCATATATTTTTGAACCTCGGGAAGTCTCGCTTTGATGTTTGGGAACGAGAGGGTTTCAAGATTAGACAATGGCTGTAGTTAAAGAAAAATGCATTAGCAGTTTCCAACTGAGCTTCAGAGAGCTTTCATGTCGGCCAATTAATTTCCCCGTGTTAACGATTCTGCTCAGTGCAGCCGGGACTCAGAGAGGCATAGATAGCAGCAACCCCGGGTCTGCCGTGTCCAAAAAAAAGCGAAATGCCTCCGTTTTTTAATGAAATAAATCCAATGAATTGATACGCAAACAAAAGCAGTGCGGCGGGGCTTCCGCCTCTCCCAATGTCAACCGACGCAAAAAAATCTTTAGAAGTTTTACAATCTGAAAGCGTCCGCAGTCACAGCGAGTCTTGATTAGTGCTCAGTCCCACGGAGTTGTCAGTGTGATTATAGCCTGCGACACACCGTGATAACAAGCGTCCATCTCTTTCAAGGTGCGGCTCTAATTGTATCTCACAATTAAATCCTCGATCGTTCTCATCTGCCCTCCTTCTGAACTTTCTGCTCTTATGCTGTCTCACACC